CCAGTGTCCCAGCTGCAGCCACCTCTGATGCTTCAGAAGAAGGGGACAAAAGCTAACAACAATCCTGAAATACATGGCAGGGAGAGAAGGTGGGGAAATCCCTCCCTGACCTCTACAGGTGGCTGGCTAAAGCCCTGACGCCTGAGCTTTTAGGACCATAAGACATAAACTGTACATGAGCCCCAGGGCTGCCAAGCTCTTCCCCCCACCATAACAAGCAACCCTGATATACAATCCTACTCATCAATTTGGCACGCTCTTAAAACTAACTAAATTGTTTGCCCCCACAGCTCCTATCGGAAGGCGGTTCCAAAACCTCACTGCTCTGTTGGTTAGAAACTTTCTTCTAATTTCCAGCCTGAATTTGTTCATGCCCAGTTTGTATCCATTTGTTCTTTTGCCAACATTGTTCTTTAGCTTAAATAATTCTTCACCCTCCCTGGCCTTTACACCCCTCCCCCTATGTATGTTTTATATAGAGCAATTGTATCCCCACTCAGCCTTCTTTTTGCTAGACTAACCAAGCCAAGCTCTTCCACTCTCCTCTCATAAGATAGGCCCTTCATTCCCCGGATCGTCCTAGTAGCTCTTCTCTGCACCTGTTCCAGTTTGAATTCATCTTTCTTGAACATGGATGATGAGAATTGTACAGAGTATTCCAAATATTCTTACCAGTGTCTAGTACAATGGCATGAATACTACATTATCTCTACTGAAAATTCTTCGCCTAATACATCCTAGGATTGTATTTTCATTTTTTTGCAGCTGTATCACATGGGTGGTTCGTGGTCATCCTGTGATTCACTACACACCCAAGTCTCTCTCCTCCTCTATCTCTTCCAACTGATGAGCCCCCAGTCTGAAGCAGAAATCCTTATTATCAGACCCTAAGTGCATGACCTTGCACTTTGTACTATTGAATTTCATCCCATTTCTGTCACTCTGGTCTTCAAGGTCATCCAGATCTCCCTGTATAATATTCTGATCCTCCTCCGTGTTGACGATACCTCCCAACTGTGTATCATCAGCAAATTTCCTTACCACTCTCCTACTTTTTGTGCCAAGGTCATTAATAAAAATATTGAATAAGATTGATCCCAAGATCGACCTGGAGAACCTCCACTAGTAACCTCCTTCCAGTCCGATAATCCACTTTTCAACATAACCTGTTGCCTTCTTCCCTTTAGCCCGTTACTTATCCACCTTACAGTTCTTGTTCCAATCCCAGTTTTTCCCAGTTTCACTAATAATTTCCCATGTGGTACCCTGTCAAATGCTTTACTGACATCCAAGTATATTAGGTCTGCTACACATCCCTTCTAAAAAAAAAAAAAAAGGTTTTCTGCCATTGCAGATGTGGTAATTTCCATTTCCATACACCGATTTCCATCAGCCCTCCGACCTTCATGCCCATGTTCCATATTATCATCTCTATTAAAAACTAAGGCAAAGTATGCATTTCATTTTTGGGCCATACCTAGGTTATTTTTAATCTCCTTCCCATCTACTTTACATAGTGGGCTTAACCTCATCCTTCCTTATTCTCTTTCTATTTATATAACTAATAAACCTCTTTTTTCTTTTTTTAAAATTCAGCGTGACTTTTAGCAATTCTCACTTTATTCCGACATTTTCTAACCTCCAAGGTGTAGCTTTCTTTACTGATCAATCCCCTTTTCCATTCTCTGTAGGCTCTCTGCTTATTCCTAATAGCCTTTTTGAGGTGGTTATTCATCCAGCTGCATCTGGGGTCTTTCCATATGAGTGTGTTTTTCCCCCTTGCTTGGCTGCAAATTTCAGATAGTTTTCGTATCGTTGATTCGAAGAAATTCCAAGCCTCTTCCACATTTAAGTCCTTGAACTCTCCGTTCCAGTTGACCTCTTTAACTCATTCCCTTAATTCCCAAAGTTTGCCCTTTTGAAATAAAAAAAAACATAGTTGATGACCTGGTTTTGATTATCCTTCCATTTAATTTAAACTGAATCAACTTGTGATCACCTGATCCAAGGTTATATATACAACTAGCTCTTCTATAATGTCACTACTTACCAAAACCAAGTCTAAAATTGCATATCACTTGTTGGTTCAGCTACAGGCCTGAGAGGACAGCAGAGCTGCCTGGCTGGGAGGGGAGGTTATGCTGTGCCCTAAAAAAAGCTGTAGCAAAATACTCTCCCCTCCTCTGCACCAGGGCGGGAATGGAACTGTGTCTCTGAGTTGCAATTTCTTTCTGGGACTCTTCCTGGAATGACACGGTTACACCCTGGCCTACAGGCTCATTCTAGCCCTACGGGCCCAAATCTGTCTTTCTGTCATGTTGTGTCAGACTTCCTACAGTTTGTGAGTAGTCCCACTGAGATCAGTGCAACTACTTCATAGTTATTATTCCACATGAGAAATGGTGGCAGAATTGGAGCCTAGGATTGTTGTGATCTGCGTCATGTCAAACCATTCGCGTCTGTTGATTTAATTTGTGGTTTGGAAATCGCCGTTTTCTGCCGTATGGCACAGAGCAAAGCTAAAGTGTGGCTCTGAAACTTGGGATGAGCTTTTCAGGCCAAGGGGACCGTGAAACCCTTACGTAGTGTTGGCCCCATGGGGATTTTCACTATGATAAGCCTGTGCTCCTTTGCCAGTTCTGCATCTCCACTCCCTCTGGATCTAAGAGGTGAGCGTAGCTATTGCAAAAGAGGAGTGATGTTATCAGTGGTATTTTTCTGAATACATTCTGACCTTGGATGCATGTGGCTCCCGTTTATTTCTCATTGAGGTCAATTGCAGCTGTGTATGTGGATCTGAGGTTTGAATTTAGCCCATTCAGCTCTGGATGGCAGCATATTTCATTAGAAAATTAAGTTCTTCTAGGGTTACCATATTTCAACAATCAAAAAAGAGGACGGGAGGAGCCCGCCCTAGCCCCGCCCCTGTCCTGCCCTAGCCCCGCCCTTGCCCCTTCCACTCCCTCCCACTTCCTGCCCCCTCAGAACCCCCAACCCTCCCCCCCACGCCTTGTCCCCTGACTGCCCCCTCCTGGGACCCCTGCCCCTAACTGCCCCCCA